CAGATAGGCACATTGCTGTCAGTAATGAATTTCATCCAAGATCAAAATAACAATCTAATTAAAGACAACAATCAAGTTTCAGTGCTGTGTTCCTGACCTATACAACAATGTGTGACAAACCACTTTGTGAAGATGGTTTATGTGCAGGGCACAGTTACACAGCAATAAGCATTCTTACCTGCTTAGCAATATTGTTACATAATCTGAACAACTGTAGGACCACAGAGAAGGTCAGGAATGCTCACAGAGGACTGTATGTTATTAAAAAATGATAAAAATGTAAAACATCTGTTCGTGACTATATGCAGATAATAGTTTTGCAGACTTACAGTTTTTACCAGAATATATTTATGAAAAAGGCATATCACACAGAAAAATGCTGTTTCCTCTGAAATGTGAGTCCCCTTTGCAAACTGCACCTAGTAAAGGAAATACCAGTATAATTTGGTAGCAGAAGCAAAATAATGTATTTTGCCTAGAATTCCTGAAAACAAAAATAACCCAAACTGCTTGGGCTATCCAAACAAATTTAGCCTGAGGCAAACACCTGCCATGCACATTTTTAGATCAAATGTAAAAAATTTGGCAAAATTGGAGGAGAATTTTCTTTTGAGATAAGCTTTTTCTTTTTGAGAATAATAGTTTTGCCTATATTATTATCTACTACTTTCTGTATGACACAGAATCTGGCCATTTGAAAGGATCAGACATCTTATATGTAAGTATGCATTCTAAATGCAAAATATATTTATATTATGAATAAGTTTGTAAAATAAAATAACATTTTATTCATAGAGAGTCTTCTCATTCTCAGGGGTAAAAGAGAAACATCTGTATTCAGATCAACTGATTTTCACTATTTAAAAACAGCTAAGAGGAGAAACAGGTTTGTAATCACAACCCAATGTGATGCTGGCATGCCATCACTGTCCAGAACTGGTAATTGAAGCAGCCCAAATAGTATGGTATTGACTGAGAAAAACTATCATGACTGAGCTCCAGGTGCTGATAACTTTGTGTTCTTAACAGGGCCATGTGCCATTTGGTGTTTAAACAAGGGGAAACCCACAGCTTTGGGTTCATTGTCAAATATCTCTACAATCAGTGTTGTTCTAGTGCTATGCAGTTAGATTCTGTAATAAAGGATAAGCAGGTGAAAATTTTGGATTCCTGTGAACCGCCAGACAACAAAATTAAAAAATGTTCTGGTCTAAATAAGATGCAGTTACTTCTTTCTAGTTGGGATTTTCTTTCAGTTTAACTGTTGTTTGCAATATAGAGAATACAAATACAGTGGTAACATCAATAAACAAGGACCTAGAAACAATGCCACTGAATGAATGAATAGGCTTTAATAGGCCTGAGCTTCAAATAGTATAATATACTTCTTAATCCATTTTGATTCCTTTAAATAAGAAATTACAGGCTAAAATATTAGCTTGATTTCATTCATATTACTGCAAGTCAAGTATGGATTAAATGAAGTACCTAGATTTATTATAACACAAAAGTTAAAGGTGAGAACAGATTAAGCTACCCAGAATCATAAGGTTCCTGTCTAGTAGGACAGTAATATCAGGTAGCTCACTCATCCTTCTCCCAAATTGATGCAGATATTATAGATGATATTAGTGCCAGGTGTAAAAAAGGAATCAAGTAATTATGGAGTCATATGGTGCCCTCTGCTGTGAGTCACAGAGGGGAACCACAACACCAGAGGAGTGAGAGTGGAGCCCCAAAGCAGAAGAATGGCAAGGGCAGCTCCATAAGATCATTTATCCTCCCCAGCAGCTCCCAAAGGTGTCACTCCAGCAAAGCCATTGGCTCACTGTTTCTTTGTTTCCAGGATGAAGAGTAGAAGAAGTCTGCTTGCTGCACAAATCGTCCTTCTGTCCATCTCTACCAGCTGCAACCATGGCAGATTCAAGAATGACAGAAACAGGAATCCTGGGGTTTCCTTTCTTTTTCAATCCCCAAAATCTGGATCTTGCTTGCCTTTCTGTTTCCTTTGGCCTTCAGTCCTGCTCTCACAGCAAAGCAAACATCAAAACCAAAGTGAATTCCACATAAATATTTGACTACTGTACCTATTCCTACACCTTGGCCCCTGGAGATGGATATTTCAGATACCTCCTCTGCCAGCATTTGTCTCAATGAGCTCAGAATACTAAGAAACACAACATGGAAAAACAAAGGAGCAAGCAACAATGCCATGTATTTAACTCATGCATGCCATGCCTTTTTAAGTCCCTATGTCTGACAAAAGATAAAAAAGATCAGGAAAATTTAATAACTCTTTGTCTGTTATATGAGCAAGAAGAGCATCTGCCAGAACAGTATTGGTGCCTGTAGGGACAGGGAGATCATGACAAAGCCTATGAAATCTGCTTTTGGGTTAAGGGGCTCTTTAGCTAAGTTACTTGAGATTTTAATTTTTTTAATCACTCCCTCAGCTAGAGCTCTGCTGTTGACTCAGGAATTCACTTGGCCCCTCCTAGGTTAGTGAGTTCATCAATTTATTCTAAGATTGCAGGCAACAATATGTGATCAAATTGTTACTTTCTCACAAACTTGTGTTTCTGACCACATGCATAAATGTTATATGCGTTGCAATAAATATTGTGAAATAATAAATATTTGGGTTTGGCTCCATTATGTTAGGTACAATAAAATATTTTTGAAATATGAGATGCATTTCAAAATGTGATACATAATAGCATCATCTATTATGGACTTGTAATTTTGGAATGAGAAACACTAGCTAAGGTTGTACTAATGACAATAGCCATTATAAACTGTCAGTTTGTCAATAAATATAGCAATTTTCAAATAGTTAAACCTCAAAACTTTTGAATGTCTTTTAATTCTCTCATGACAAGAAATCGGATAGCGACCAAACTTGATAACAACCAATCCCTTTCACTGTTTGCTCTCAAATTCTTTAAATGCTCCCCCAACCACCATTTTCCTTATCATATAGCAAGGCAATATATCTTGCAATTATTTGTACTATTTACAAAATCAGGATTTTGATAATCCAAAACTAGTTTTCTGCTTAATTTGTTTTTCCAGGCCTGAAGCAGGTTGTTTTATTAATATGTCCTAAGTTCTTATGTTTTTCCCCTCTCTCGCTTGCATTCTTTTTCAGACTTCAGAGTGGTAACAGAAAAAGTGAGATTTCAAAATAGTTAAAGTAACAGAAGACACACAGAAAGAGACAGATTTCAGAAAACAAAATAATTTTTTTTAATAGATGGGAAGCAGCTCCATTACTTAGAAAAGGTTCTTCAAACTGGAAAATGTACTATTTGGGTTCAGGTTTTGGCTGTGATTCAGGTTGTTTTTGGGGGTTTTTTTCTATTTTTTCATTGAGTTTGTTTACCTTCCCTCACATTATTTTTAACATACACAGGCAGAACACAAAATATTATGTACAAGGATCTTCCTTAATATTTTACAGCCTTATTTAGAAAGATGCAGCATACTCAGAGCTTCCATGGAATCTAATGGGACTTATGGAAACCTGGTATCTCCAAAAATCAGGCCATTAATTTTGAAAATGTGCATTAATTACTCTCTAGGCTGTAATAGCTCACTTGCTATTACTATAATCTACATTCTTTTGAAAAAGTGTATTTTTCACCCGGTATGCCACACTTGCTCCTAAAGAGCAGTCATATCTTATAATATAAAAGCTTCTTTATAACTGATCCAATTATTGACCTGTGGCATTGACCTTAATGAAATGTAATATTTCCAAAGGAATGATACAATCCTTTGTGTTAATCTGGTTGACGGGCATACTCTTGAAGGCTTCATGATAACAATAGCTATGGAATTTATCGAAATAATTAACTTGATGAAACACAAACCCGTGTATTTCCACTAAGCATTGAATGATGTGGTTTAAATGTCCATTTTCTGAATTACAGCTAGTCTATAGTATGCAGCAGCGTTTGCAGAATTTGCCAAAACCCACAGCTGTTTTGAAAACCATTCTCTGTTGGTAGATTTTTAGATCTGCTTAAAACATTTTTGTTCTATACTGAGACCTGGCACATAATATTGATGTGTTCCAAATATTTGCAGTTAAAGGAAAAACTGATTCTAGTCTTAACTGTGGATTGTAACAATCACTACCGTTAACCAAAGGTGAAAACCTTCAGGTAAGTACTCCCACTTGGAATCAGTTCACTTAGGATCCTCTGCACCAAATGCAATTCCTAGGCTAAGTGTTCTCTTTTCTTTATGTCGATATAAAATCCTTTTTTTAAGTAGTGTCACTCTCAGCCACCGCATTTGGTGCAATTTAATGCTGTTAGATGCTTTCGTGTCATGTGGTTATAGCTGGGTAGATTAATAGGAACTTCTATATGGAAATTTCTTTCCTGTTATTGTTCTCCCTGAGCAGTTGATGGCTAAGTTAATTCTCTTTAGTTTTGTCATGCACTAAAGCACACATTGCCAAGCTATGATAAGCTTTACACAGGAAAAAAAAAAGCCCTCGTGTCCATCAAAGTCTTAAACTTGTATTTTAAACTTTGGCCTGACCTGATGTGCCATTGCAAAAAGCTTCAAAAGATTATTTTTTCAAGAAAGGTTCAATATGTCCCGAGGCTATCGGTTTTGAGTTAAACTGGGTGAAGTAGAAATATTTTACTCATCAGCTTTGCAGTCACAGAGTTTGCCTCAGCTAGAACAAAACTGCTGAGGCATTTAGAGAAAATTAACCCCCCATCCTGGCAGCCAGATGTGACTGGTTTCTGACGAATGCACATGAGTGGGCTGAAAAACCAAGAGACTGTGAAATTCCTGTCAGGTCCGTACAGCGCAGAATGGGCTATTGACTGCTTTCTATATTTCCCTCCATCATTCTTCTTGAACGCTGCCATTAATTTCCTCTCCTGCTCTGACTTGGGAATTTAATTTTTTTTTTCCTGTTGGGGTGGGGTTTTTTTCTCCTTCCTGCCCCCACCTATCTCCTAGCCTGTCGCCCCCAGCCTGCCCCCGTTGTTGCCGTGTCCGTGGCCGCGGCGTTGGCGCTGCTGGCGTGGCCAGCCCAGCATCCCAGGGCGATGGAGCAGGGACACGCTGGCCGAGTGGTGGAGCCTCTCCAGCGAGGCCTCTCCAGCCAGGCTGGGCTGGCGAGGATCCAGGCAGCCTCTCAGGAGAACGCTCAGAAAATATTAGCTGTGCAGGTAGGTGATTGCAGGGAAGTCGGAAAGATCATTCTGATCTAGATTGAAAAGCAAATGATGGGTAGTGTGATGAAGCATTAAAACCATATCCCATCAGAGTTTTATAAATTTTTAACCTCTTTAATAAACTGGAATTGCATGAAGGATGAATTCAGTAAGTTAGCACATATACCATGCATAGATTGAAAAAAGAGGGGGAGATTAGATTTATTTCTCACAAACCTTTGAGAAGATTATTATAAATACATTGAATATAAATATTTGAAACGCAGAGTGGCACTGCTATTGCTGCTCAGTTGTTTTAGAAGATGTTATTTTGTCCTGTTTTGTGCAAATATTATTTCCATGGTAAACACTATTGTCATTTTCACAGTATTCCTATTTAATATCTTTAGAAGAGGACTATTTTTAAGAAGTATTGCACTTTCTTAACTCAGTTATACAATAATTTTCCCTTATTTATAAAAAAAACCAACACTGTGGAGATATGAGATTTAAAAATGGTTTCCAAAAATGTATGGTTTTTTGTTTTATGTCTTGTTCCCCATATAAATATGTTTATCAGGGAAAATAACTACTATACAGTATAGTTTAAATATTCATTTATTTTTGTCTCACACTATGGTATCTTATTCATATTTCTGTAAAGCCACGCCTTTCAATCTCTTCATAGGTAATGGCCATAACCAGATGGCATTTGTGAAGGATTTTTAAAAGACTTAAGTGAAATATTTCTTCAGACTTATTCCTTGCAAAATAAGTTACATTGCTGGTGCAGCTTTAGTGCAGCATATTCTTGCCATCTCTGTTGTCTAATTTTTAACGGTCAAGCTTTGTTGTGTGGAACAATTTCACTGCATTTTAATATTATGTAATTACGCTTCACACTTATCTGATGAATTAAAGCAAAAACCTAACTTGAATCAGTTCTAGAATTCCATTAAGTTGCATCAGCATGATGATCTGTTTTCAGTGCCTCACTAAGAGGATTTATATTTTGAAATTCCAGATTTCCATATTTGTTCTATGGAATCATATATGTTGTGCTATGTATGCTCTATTTATGTAACAGATATAGAAAATCCCAATAATATAATAGTCAGAAATTAAATATAAATAATTAAGATACAAATGTAATCAGATTTATTATTTGGTAATGGGTTTAATGGAATGGGATTTTATTGAATTCTATGGATTTTTGGGGTTGTTATATGTGCTAAACATTGCACTGACCTCTGTTCCAGTGAAAACAGTTTTTTCATTCAAATTCCCCATTTAACATTTGAAAAACTGGAAAAGATTCCTTTTTATTTTTGGGATTTCTCAGATGATTTCTGTTCTCTCCTGTGTGTGTAGAACAGGGGTGGTCTGTGTGCATCCCAAAACTCATGAACAAAAGGGGTGACATAGAAGCCACAGGTGGCAGATGGTTTCCTCACACACAAATCTCAGCATCAGTCTAATGTTCTGCAATATTTTAATATCTGTACTGCAAACCTCATCTGCATTGGATCTCCTGTGCCAACAGCCAGTCCTTGCAACAAGGGATGAGTGTGGTGGAAAACCTCCACCTTAGCACACATTTTTCCATGCATGCTGTCCCTGCTGAGAACCCCTGTCAGCAAATCTCGTCACCCTGAATAACTCAACCAGCTGGAAACAGGCCTAAACTAAGCTTGTGGGTGTAAGACCCAGCACCACTTGGGGCTGTTCAGGTCTGAGTAGCTCAGAGCTACCAGTGACAATGTCTTGTTCAGTGTGGAAAGCATCCTGTTCTCTGCTTTCGTTATCCATTGCATAGCTTTCTGATAATTCTGATGTATTCTGATATCCTTGCTATATTTTTACATGGTTTGACTGATGATAACTTAAAATTAAAATATGAACAAAGAAAAAATATAAAATTTAACTGAAATAATTGATCTAAGAGCAATTCCCAAGGTGTGTAGAAGAAAGCACTTCCCTTCAGCAATGTTCTGGTTTCATATTTTGCAGGTCTTGGAAGGTGCTTAATTATACATGGACTGGTGTCTTTATAAATCTGTGTTATTGTCAGAGCAATCTATTCTTCTGCCAATTAAGTTCTCTTATTGATGCCATTAACATAGTGGCACATCCAAAATAAAATCTGACAGTTATTCTTCTCTATTCTTTCTTTTCTCTCAGCCAGAAATATCCCAAGCTTATTGCTCCTAGTGACCCTCCTACATTACAGTATGAGTATGAGAACACGCTGCACTGAGAAGTGTGTGGCAAAACAGCGATTCCTGCTCATCAGAGCTTCTGTCCCAGCATTTCCTTGACCAGAGCAATCAGAAGCAGGTGAATGGCAGAGGAAGAGTGCATTAGGGGAGGCAGTAGATACAGTACATTGGCTGCCTAAGTGTTTTCTAATATTTTACAGAAGCCGTGACCTGGGTGAGATCCAAAAAGAGACTTAAAAGTAGATAATGGAGGAGGTTTCGGCCTTTTCACCAGGTGCTTTTTAACTACCAACACCCTTCAGTTATAGCCAGCAGCAGAGTTTTGGGTGAACTGTGATGTGAAAATTAAGAGCTGCCTCTGAACAAAGACAGATTTAATCAGAGGTTTCATCATTACTTGTCAGCACTAGTACTGTTTAGTGACATTAAAAGATTAAAACAAACAAACAAACACACAAACTATTCTAATTTATTTCAATCAGACTTTTAAATACATATTTCCTGGGTTTTATAAAGTTCTTTTTAGCCATTTTGCTTCTTCAATATTTCATATTTGTATTGGAAACAGGAATAATTAGATTATTGCCTAGTGTCTGTATGTTTTCTGAATGCACTCCTGGCAGAAAAGGAAATTTTGACATTAATCATTTAAATTGGGATTTTAAAAGGGATAAGATATTCTTCCATATTAATAGGAAAGAATAAATATGTTTGCAATCAAATCAATTGCTAGAACAGAGAACAATAACTGAAATTAATTATACTTCCAATTTTGGTTCTTTATCTATTTCATTTTTCTTTAGAGCAAAGTACAGGGCTTTTCTTGAGTGAGACTATTTCATCTTGTGATACTCTACCTTTATTCAAAATTTCTTAATTTTTAAAAAAATTCTTTACTGTCTCTGATTGCAGCCAGTAGCAGAATTTGAGAGATTACTGTCTGGAGATATTTTTTTTATTTTAGAGACTGCGCCAAAAGTGCCTTAAAAGCACATAAGCAGTGCTCTGCTCTTTTTATTCTGGGACGTTTACATACATACACAACAGCTCTGAAAAGAGACTGTTTTTTTTTATTGTGGTAGTCAAAGAAAGTTCTATGTGCTCCAATATGGATGTACTTTTCAGTTGTTTCACCATCACTGTCAGCACAGTCTATGGTTTGCTGAAGGATTTCAGCCTTCAAAAAATCCTTCAACAATTACTAAACAAATTTTTAGTCCAGCAGAAAACAATAGAAGCAGTATCTTTAATTTTGAAAAAAATCCCAAAAACCTGTAAAACCTTTGTACCTAGTGTACAGGCAAGGTATTTATTATGCTAATTACTTCTGCTTTTCCAATAATGCTTTGGAGTTTCAGTACCTTGGCTCTTGAGTAAGTTCAATTAGCTATCTAATTGCAAAAATGATATATGATGGCACATGTAGCTTTAGTTGGGACTGTGCCTGTGCTTTAATCCTGATGATCTTCAATGTAGACCATCCTTTTAGGTGATTTATCTTAACCATAGTTATATCAGAATCATTTTAGGAGTCAAAGTGCTACAGCAAAAGATTACATCATTGCTATTCTCATTGTAACTTTAAAGGATTTCACACATACCTTTTCTGATGGTGGCAACATTAAGGTACCTTTTTAATAAATGCAAGATTATTGGTTTAATTTTTAATGGATCAGCAGCTTTGATAACCATTCACACCAGCACAAAGTGATACAAAAGTAGATCATCAGGATTTAGAGTCTAGAAATCCCTCAGATGGCAGCAGCTTTATCCATTTTCATCAGGTGGACATAGATACACAAAGCACTAAGGAATAAGGCACCATGGAATAAGGCAACAATCAACCCACAGTCTATCACTCTGATTGAAGTTTGCTGTGGTTATTTATATATTTTCTGCAGTTTTATTCAGTTTCACTGCCTGATTAGACTGAAATCTTTAAAAGTTTTGGGCAAAACTTTTGGAGTTCAAAATAACCACGCTGTATTGGTGTGTAGTTTACACCAGAAGAGTTTTGGTGCTTTGCCTTTATTTGAGCAATTTTGCAGAGGCCACCAGAGAAAGGAGTGACTCTTCTTTATTAAGGGTTTGAATTTTTGGCGAATCTGCCGCAGACACCTCAGTGGATACTAATTCTTAATGGAGGAAATATTTTACTGACTGTGCAGAACTGTGCTTTTCACGGCACCCTGTTCTACCTCCTTACAGGAAATTCAGTGCAGTTCCACTATGGCCAGGAACAGCTGAAATCCTGTGTGCTACAAGCAGCTTTACCCTTTTGCTCTCTGGAAACCACACATTCTGAACTTGCTTCTAAGCTGTCAGGTGTAGCCAGTTTAAGCACATCTTTTGTTCTTTAACTTATTACCACAGGTGTGTTATGGTGTCCCTCAGGGCTGACGCTCTTCAAAAGCTGTACGCCTCCTCTTTTATTTTTCTCTGTTATGGGGTGAGTTATCACCATTTATGCTGATTGCACTCAGTTGTGTCTTTTTTCCTGCTGATTTCACTTTAGCAGTCTTGCTGTTTCTGTCTTGTCTTAGAGACATATGGGGTTGGATGACAGACAATGTTTCTTAAGGGGACATGGCTGCACACCTTTTAATTAGTTCTAAGCTTTTGTGTTTAGTCACATTTATCCATTATAACCATTTGAAATTTTGAAGTTACATTTTTCTGCGTTTATTATTCATTTATAAATTATTTATTTTGTACAGTGCAGGAGAATTGAGACAAGTTATTTTTGCTTCTGTTCTTGGGGTAATTCTTATGAGTTGAAAAATGTGTTACTTAGTT